ACAAATGATGATAATTTCTTTGCTCAACGGGCTTGTGGTTTTTGAGATTTCTTGTTTTGAACAAAATGTTGGAAAAACAGCATTAGATCATCCAAGATCCTAAATCCTGAGAGTACGGGCTAAGATGTAGTAAAAAATACTGGTTCAAATTCTTTTCACTAAAAGACACTAAACTACGGAGAAGTAGGGTCACCAAAATCAATACACACATAAATGGTCTCCTCCTGGTCAGACTACAACTCTCACGTCGCCTTGGCATAAATTGGTTACCCTATAATCTACATGGGTAGAGTTATTAAATACTAGTTAAAAAGATCCTTAAAACAGCTACTCATTTGTTAATACTAACTTCACTACAATCAGTCATTTAGACTTTATTTACACAGCACTTTTCATATAAATTAAATGTAACATAAAACACATAAAAACATCCCCAAGCCCACTCTTGAAGAAACTCCCAGTTGTTTTTATTTTTAAGACTCTGCATTGCTCCTCTCGTGCTGAATTTGGAATCTAACATCTAAAGATGAGGACAACGAGCCACGATGGACACTGTATCTTTGCCAGCTGTGCTAATTTCACCAGCATTGTCTCTCTGTGCTGTGATGTCTGCTTTATTGGACAGTTTCACAGTGAGTGACGAGACAGATGAGAAGGGGAGATTGAATGCACATGAGTTTGACAACAACAGTAGAGAACGTGGCATGTGAAGCAGCCTACAGATCTAATGTATCCCTGAAGAAAATAGTCTCCATACACAAATCTACTGTTCAGCATGAATGAAGATATAAGACGCCAGAAATGACAATAATGGAAAAACCTGTTGTACAACAGTCTGAAGTAGTGGCTTGTATAAAACAATGACATAGGACTTGGCCTTTGTAGGTTATTTGGAACTGTGTAGGTTTGAGATTTTGGCAGCGTTAAGACAACTGCATAGTTGGTTTGTAATCGGAGACTCGGGTTCCTTCATGTTATTGTTTCCACTGACATCCCCTTTGTAATGGCTGACAGGAATATAAATTAACTTCTCAAGCTTCTTCAAAACGACGTCCATTCATCATCCAAAATGATGACTCTCTTTTTTTCTTTGAGAAAATTATCTGCTGACCACCAAGTTTAACTCTGGCCATTGCTCAAATGTCTGTGAATCTCATGATAGCCATGCTTGATGAGCAGACGAAAGTGTTGACTCTAAATTATGGGTTGTGATGAGGCCATTAAACACACATCCATCCATAGTGGAAAAACAGCTGGCAGGGGCTGAATGAATATTTTATGAGTATTGTTTTATTCATGAAGGCAATGTATATGACGATCAAACTGAAGGGGTATGCTTCTTACAGGAATTACTTCAACTAAGCTTTTGGTCACATTTTTCTTTATACAGTTTTTTCATCCAATTCAATTTCTTACAGTGATATTTCCTATGATGATATTTTTTATAGTAGTTCTTTTTGCAAAATAAAAATGCTTGTCAGATCAGGAGAGGCTTCAACTGAAGAATGAACACATTTTATTATTATTTTACACACATGCACATTAAGATATAAGAGTGATGTGATACATTCTTTATGATGTCATAAAGGTTATAACGGGGTGTGACCGCGGGTGGCAGTAATGCACCTCGGCATTAGTTTCAACCTGCTTATTAACTGAACAAAGATGTAGAAGAAGAAGAAGAAAAAGAAGGGGTCTAGACATTGGTGGTGGTTGATGGGATGTAGAAAATGTTAAGAATCTGATGAGTGTTGGATTAGTTTGGCTTGACCAGGGCTCTAAATATGGAGGCAGGAGGTGACTGAAGAGGAGGTTTTACAGCAGAGACATGATTGGCTGATTGAGAGTATGGCATAATTGGATTAATGCAAACATCCAACAGTCAGCTGATTACATGTGGTGGACAGAGTGAAAGAGAATGAGGGGACAATAAGAAAGTCTTCTTATTGTCCCCTCATTCACCTCATTCTCTTTCACTCTGAAAGTCTTCTTATTGTACTTCACACTTAGCTTCAATACATAAACTAAAATCTTTGCCAGCGATATCTTATCCTGTCAGTGTTGGCAGCAGCAGTGTGTTCTGTTATCCACTAAGTCATTCTACAAGTGGTGCGCTGAGGAATAGCAACCGGGCGTCTTTTTGATAATCAAATCTGAAAGCGCTGAACGAAACTGTGCTGTGTCTTTTCCATTATTGCCAAAAAAATATGTTAGAGAGTCCAGCTGAAAGCAGTTTGAACAGGAGGCAGTTGATCAAACAGAATATTACTGTGTGGAGTTGGAAGCAAAGTATATGTGGAGCAGAGGAAACGATTATAGTAAATTGTCCTAATGCATAGAGACGTCGCACATGGAGAAGTGAGACGTGTCATGGCAATAAAAGTGTGAACAGTATTTGAGCTCCATTTCTTGTCAGGCTTCTCCTGTAGCCACTCAGTTACTCTCTGTCAGACACACACAAGCGCCAGACTCAAGTAGATAAACACATACAACCTCATGGGTGGGAGAAGAGTTCTTGGAATCTTGGCCTGGTGTCTACAACCGCCCTGGCTCCTCCTCTTTCCACTGATTCCTCACAGACCATGTTATCTCCGTGAGCCTGTAAGGTCAAACGCTGATCATGTGTAAGCATCCCGCCATCATTAAAAGCCCTCAATGAAACCTGTTGTTTGTAGGAAATCACTGGATGCCTTTGGACCTTCTTACTTTCTTTTGTGCTACCTCCTCCTGTTGAGAAAAGTGTCCTCAGATATTTATGTTCAGTGTTATTTAATCGTGCATCATGATTGTGCAGTTGAAAGACAAGTAGAACCCTTAACTGATCGCCTACAGGTATCTTGGTTAAGATGTTGAAGAAGGAGAAGAAAAAGGCCCAGGATGCTGCTGCTCAGCTTGCTAACATCACCAGTGGCCAGACTCTGGCTTCCCAGAGTGCCTCGAGGGTGACAACAGGGCCATTGAGAGAAGACAGCGCAGACACCATTTCCACCAACCATGGAGGACGAGCAGTGCAGTACATGAAAAGAGGTACTATAAGAAGATTTATCTTTCTGTGTGTCTTTTGGAATTCTAATGATTTAATGCAATTTCCTAAAGGCTCCAGATGGTGCGATGAGGATGTGGTGTATCACTCTAAACAATACAAACTGGTGTCTAAATTGGATCATGATATATTTTGGATATGTGGTGCTGCCATTTGTATTATTGTGTCTCTCTTTAAGATGTTCACAGATGGTGTTTGTAGAGTATATGGCCACATAATGAGGACACTGCATTAAAGGGTTGGTTCTGCCAACTTTCTAATCTCTATAAACGGATCTGCATGTGAATACACAGAATCTGTAGACGAGGGACGTTTTTTGAGCAAAGATTTTGGGGCCGAAAATACAGTAACAACTAGTGGTATCTTGCCATGTGGATAGTTTTGCTTGTCAGACTTTGTCTCTACTCTATAGGGCTAATTGAAAAGAAGAGTAACACATATTTATGTTGTAGGTTTTAAAAGAAACACACATTTGTTTTTTGTTTTTTCTGTTGCTACTGTTCTTTTTATTTGGATGAGAAACGCTTCATGATTACCTTCGGCAGTATGGCGGCTCAGTGTTTTTTTCTTATCTCACAGCAGAAATATCCCAGCTGTGAACTCTGTCCATGGCCTCTCTGTATGGAGTAAGCATGTCCTCTCTCTGTTTGGATTAAGGTACAGGCTAATACTGCTAAGAAATGGAATTGGCCATCATACTGCACTGTGGCTGCTCATTGCTACTTAATAGTTCGACTGGGGGAAATACATTGCATGGGGAATAATAAAGTACTAATAACAATAATAATTTTCATGCCTCTATTAAACGTGACAGTCCGTCACTCTGAGCTGGAAGAGTTTGTGATAAATGAGGTGCTAGGAAAATAGTGAGTGATCTCTCTTGATTGGAATGTGGGCAGTTCATTGTGGTCCTGCTGATTTTCAGCGTGCCTGTTGAGGTCGTCTGTGGGGTTAGGACAAATCCTTGATTTCTGGATTTTACTGAGTGGTGAACAGTCTGATGTCCCGGAGCTCTCTGGCTTATTTCTAAACAATGTCATCAGTGGGATTGCGTGTGTTTAGGAGGTTTCTTTGGAGGTCATTCAAGTGGCCCAGTATCGTCATGTCAGCCAAGCACATCAGACAGTTAAGTAAATTAAACCTGTTGGTTGTTGCTGATGAAAAGCTGATGAGTTAGTTTAAAACCTATAATACTCAGTGGAACATGAAGCAGGGACCAGGGCCCAAAAATGTTGCAGTGTAAACACAGAAGACACCATTCCGAGGTCACTGGAATAGCAACTCAGATTCACAATGTTTAAGAAAATGTTGGTTTCATGTAGGCAGCATCTCCTCACAAAACGTTTACTATCAGATAAATCTACTGTGGTCACTTCTACAGTCACATTGTTGTGACTGCAGCTTTTGGCCAGGAGGAGATAGGTCAGGTTTTGCATTTTTGATTTGTAGTGTCTATGTTCTAGAAAATCAAGGGCTGGTTCTTATTTTCTTTGGACTTTTCTTGGCTTGTTTAATCGTATCAATGGTTACGAATCTACATCTGCGTTAATCTTAGGGTCGTGATACAAAGTACTCCTCAAAAGGGTTTTAGATTTTTAATTTACCAAGTGATCAATGCAGACTAGTTGTTAAAAACCACAGGGTGGCTCTTGTCTGGCAAATCAGGTTCGCAGCCCAGGCCTCTCGTGATATCTTCAGGACACAGATGCAGAAGCAGTTAAATACGTCATACCTTTCGTAGGTCTAGTAACTGGCATATTACTGTTACATGGTCTTAAATTGAGTGTCACCAGTGTTGCAGTTAGTTAAGTTATCTTCTTGTAGTTTTGCCACAGCAGGTTTGAGTTAATGAAGTCACTGAACTGAAATGGAAATGAAGACCCAGAGATTGTTGAGTAGAAGTAGAAGAGACATGACGCTGAACTTTGTTTTGGATGGTCTGTCCACTCCTTTAGAAAGGAATTTTTAGTTAAGTTCTTATGGGCAGCTGAGTTTGAGGGTGTATATCTGCCAGACACAGGCTCTGGGTACATCCAGGTCTTGTAGGACCCTTGTCCCTCAATGTGGCGGTTGCTAAAAGTCAAGCCAATCAAGCTTTGAGACATTCCCTTTAGCCGGCATTAGTGTTTATTTGGCTTTTCCTGTTTAGTTTTGGTTAAGTGGAGCCTAAAGTGTGATGATAAACCTGAGCCCTCATAACGAGCTTGGTCGTAGCCAACGGGCACAGCAGTATGAGCCAGCAACTCATCAGACTGAGGCTGCACTCCTGTCTGCGCTAACCACAGCTCCCTCATCCTCCTCGACATTTTTGTGTAATGGTGCCCAGTGTGGTAATAAGGCCAGCGAAGCGGTAATTGCAAACAGGGTCTCTGAAAGAAGATTCTATTAAAAAACAAACACATGTTTGAACCTAGTCCAGTCAGAATTACTAAGCGGATTAGTCACTCATCAAGGGGACAATGAGGAGCACTGTGATAGATGGCTATTAAGCTGTGGTAACTGATAAATGATGCACCATATGTATGTCTCTCAAAGTTGTATGTGACCTAATATGATGACCCAGATAAAGAATCATTTGGTTTTTCTAATTTCATAGATTTAACTTCTGCTTGGTTGACCTGTGGTTGTGAGACATCTCCTGCTTCTTGACCACATTCACCAAAAGCTCAGACAGTGATGATTCAAATTTGATAAAGCTGCTTCTGTGTTTTTATTTATGGGAGTTGTACACAGTGCACTGCAATATATAGTATTAAGAGATGGTTTACCTTGTATACTCTACTCTACTGCACATTTAGTGGAAATTGATGACAATGAGCATCTGTTGCACCTTAAAACCAGAAACATGAATTCCTATATCATCTATGGAGCTTGAATTTCTCCAATTTTCTAAATGTACTCCAAGCATTGAAATATCGCATGTAATAATATATCATGTAATGTAATAATATATTACATGTAATAATAAATAATTCAGCTGGATAATAATCAAATGAGTCTTTTACTTTCTAACTCCCAAACAAGTTACTATAAAGAATTGTCTCAGCTCTGACCCTATTACTTGAGTCCCTGAATTAACAATGAAGAAAATAGGTTTTGGCCACATCACCCAATAAGTTAGCAAAACTGGACTCAGATGAAATTATTATTATATTTTATTATATTATATTATATTATACAAATAAAAAAGTAGACATGGTAAATAGGCTGTAAGAGGATTTTGACATAGGGACACTGCTAAATCTACATTATTATCCACTGACTTAGTTTTGTTTAGTTTAGTTTGACATATATACATACGTCTTATTTGAAAACCACACCCAATTACGACAAAATTAAATACAAAAACTTTTAAAATATTCAATTAGGGTTGTATATTAGTATAAACAAGATAATTGGACATATATTCATCACTACACTTTCATTTATGAACTGCTAACAACATAGACAGTGTTTCCCAGTGAAGATCTACGGCACATATAATATCATCTCATAAATCGCAGTACTGCACTTTGAGTTTCTGGACTCATCACTTAGCCATTAGTTTGAGTTACGGACAATCTACATCAAAAGGAAGATTTGAGCATTTGAGCATTGCATAAGCACAACCATAGCATGCAGTCCATTTGCACTAACTCCATTTGACCATCTGTGTCCTCAGAACCAGCTGTCCTGACTACAGCTGCCCCTCAGGCCGATTGGACAGTGGCCAGCCAAATAGTCTTCACCCTTCTGACTGCATGCAGACATTTGCTGATCAAAATAGTTTGAAGAGTTATTTTGTTCTTTCCATTTCCCTGCCAATGTCACATTTCCGTCCACAGTAAGTGTGGATCACTACCAGAGCATATGGATAAATGTAGCAGGTGTAGCTTACAACAATTGCATGTCATCTCCAAATCAGATTTTATCTGTAGCCTCTGAGACCTGACATAGATGATGCGTTTTTGAGTTGTATTATCAAACGTCCTTCCATCCATCAACCATCCATCCGTAATCTTTATCCTTTGAGGGTCACTGGAACGGGGATAGAATCAATCCCAGTTGACATCGGGAAAGAGCTGGGGTATAGTTAGGTATAATCACACATGATGTAGTAGTTTTCATCAACTTTGACAAGTATAGGATCACATATTTAATCTCTTGTGTATGTTGGGCTTATCATGCAACTAACCAATCAGAGTGCTATCTCCCACTCATGTTAGAAGCCAGGTGCCCCTGTACCACGGTGGATTGCTATCATAAGGGTGGATTTGTAGGTGGGAGGAAGGAACACTTCTCTAAAGGGAAACAGATTCAATTTACCATGATAATGTGCACTGCACCTTCACCTTCAGACCAGGTTTTTATTGGTCATAAGCATTTCTGTTCACTGTCTCGAGACAGCAGTGCATCAACAAGGCATCTGACCACAACTTACTTTAAGACCAGCCAGCCTAAGATCGCTCAGCAGGGTGCAGGTGCATTTGCCATTTAAACAACGTGGGCACTGGACGAAAAATATGAAACTATCAAAGACACTTCTGTCACACTTTGGTACCACTTTGTGCCATCTTCCACCATGAGTGAGATGGGGTCCATTACGTCAACGTGTGAGCACAGAGAATCAAAGACACATTTTTCTAAAAGAGATGTTGAGGATCATGTTTAAACAAATTAAGTTTCAAGCAGAAATGATTCCTCTCAGTCTATACTAGGAACAGGCTCATACTATAATAATCTTTTTTCCCCAGTAGCTTCTGTTATGACTAAATACTAAATTGTAATGTTTGAAATAGTGCCAGTCCATCGGTTTTAAACCCAGTGACTCATTGACCCCAACAGTGAATGAATCACTCAAGACTGCTCACATTTGCTATGATTGTGGTTATTCCTCAACTTTGTCTCTTTTCCCACATACCAATAATGTAAGGCAGTCGTTAAGATGTTTGTGTTTGCTGAGCGTGAAGATGAGTGTAACACAGGAAAAATCCTAAATATGACACTGACAAACTCCAAGTAATTATGACTGGGCTTTGTTGCTGGGTCGTAAGTTCTTGAGAAAAATGTGAGATAATTAGCGTCACTAATTTCAACATTGCTTTGGAGTCGTGAACTGAGGTGGTGTTAACAGAGGACATCACTCATAAACCAGACTATACATTAACTACATTAGGTGCATTTGCCAAAAATGTTGGTGCTGTATGTTATTGTCCAGTTTGTTGTGGAAAATTTGCTCTCCCCCTTCCAAACTCCCAGATCCTGGAGTCCCCTGTGAGCAGTTACATGTCTGCTCTGGAATGTTCCTCCACTTTTCTCATACTTCATGAGAAATTTCCGCCTCTTTCTCCATCAGCTGTTAACCAGCAGGGAAATCTTGATGCCCTCTGGGAACCAACAGGCTTTAACAACATATCGAGCTGTTCCAGAGATCAGAGAGGGTCAGAGGATATACTATGTACATGCCTCTGACTTTAACAATTCTAAAGCACACCTTGTGTCTGGGATTCTTTTCAGTTTTTTTGCAAGAAGCCATTACAATCAATTACATATTGAATTTCCAATAAAAGCTCTGAATGTTCAAAACGTTGTAGGATCACAAAGCTGACACATTTGTTTTGTGCTCTACACAGTATTGTATATGTTATGTTTCACATCTGGAGT